TATAATAAAACTGCACCCCAAAATTTCAGTGGCTTCAACCAAAAACATTTCTTTTCCTTATAAGATTCTGAATAGCCCGCTGCAGTTCAACCAGTCTCAACTTGGCTAACTTGGGTTTGCATATATGGAAGTTTTGGAGTGGCTGGCACGTGAGGCTCTACCTTGCTTGACTCTTAAGCAGAACTGTCTCTCAGTCTGATTCTCTACAGACTGGAGTTATTAATAAGACATGTTAGGACTTTTCTTTCCTACATGTGGCTTCTGGGGAATAATGATTGGGACTGCATGAAGGGTGGGGCTCTGCAAAAGCCAGTGTATCATCTCACCTAGCACTGATAACACACTGATACAGACCTATTCACAACACTGCCTACAAACTGGACCAAGACTTGCAAATTTTGGAAGCCCCAGACCTTGGGACTTTAGCATCAAGACCTAAAGTGCCCAACTCTACCTCTACCGCTGACCCCATACTCAGTAAGCAGTTAAGAATAAATCCAGCCTACAAAAATTTACTGACCAAAAGCTGCCTATTACCAAAAGATATAAAATCCATTGCAACTTTAAACCTACCAGCTACCAGAGAAATGTAATAGTAACTACTACATGTCTTGGTGGGACAAGAAAGTGTTCTAATCAATTGAATATTACAATTCATATTAGCACATATTCATAGTACATACCATATGACTTTTTATTAAACAAAGAAGACTTCTTAGAGTTTCGTAGTTCTTCAGAATTTTTGTGGAAAAGATTTTATTAAAGTAGTACTTGAGTTCTTAATTAAAATCTGGTCTAATTTGATCAATAGAAGTTTACATATTTTAATGTTTGACAATTTTAAGGAGTTGGTAGTTGTCATAATGCCTAATTTTTTAATCTTCTCCTTCTCTATCCCATCTAAATGCCTAGTGTTAATCTCGTCTCTTCTATCAGACTTCTATTTACTCATCTATATCCTCAACCACTGAATCCTATTGCACTTAAAGTCAACGCCATACAATTCTTTGAGTATTTCGCGTGTATGTCTTCAATCAGATTGTAAGCTTCTTGGTACTGGATCTATGCCTTAATTTCTTTTTAATCTTCCCAGAGAGCCTACAAGTTAATTTGGGGAGTATACAGCGTTTAACAAATACTAGTGGGGTCTGTGATCTTAGCTTTGCCATTTTTGTCAAAGTGTATAACCATTTAGTTCCAATTGTGCCCTGACATGTCTGTTTCTCTGGGGTTTCTCTTTGTTCAACGCCATTGTTCATTTTCTATTAGAATAAAGGTCTTGTTGGACAGAGATGCTAATTCAGATTCCAGTCCCGTGGAATCTGAATAAACGGACTGATCCACCGCCCATGGTGTTGAGGCTGTGAACAAAAATTAAACCTCTGATAGCCTACGAACAGCTTAACGACACATATTTAAAAATATCACTCCAAAGCCTAGTTACCCGCCAGTTACCCCGGCCTCCGGAGCTGCCGATGCTCAAAGATGTTGACAAGGCAGTTAGGATCTGCAGTCCAGGGGCCCAGTCGCTATGGTAACGGTGAGACGCAAGTGCACTTGCGCGGCCTTCTGACGGAAAACCTTAGCCTAAACCTAGGGACGTGCTTAGCGACGGCAGCGGCTTGCGGCAGCAGCGTGACTTACGGCAGCCCTCTAGTAGAGCGCCGTTGCGGGTGGAATGCAGAAGCGGCCGCGGGCTAGCAGGCGCCCAGAGCCGGCTGCCTACCAGCATGACACAGTCGGTGGTCGTACAGGGTGAGCTACGCAGGGCGGATAGAGACCTGGTCGCCGCGGAATCCAGCCGCCTTGTTTCCTGCCTAATGTCCTATTCTCTTTCCTTCCTCTCCTCCGGTCGCAGTCGGCCAGTGCGGAAACCAGATCGGCTGCTGCTTCTGGGACCTGGCACTAAGGGAGCACGCCGCGGTCAACCAGGTACCCGCCCGCAGCCCCCTCGCCTGTCAGCCAGGTCTTCCAGCCTATACGCAGGAAATACTCGACTTGAGCTTTCATCTGACCCGTTTAAGATGCATGGGATCTTCTCAGTAAATAACGTACTGGTTTTTAAACATGTTAGTTCAGACACACACTAAAAGAACACTGGCCGGCGACCTTAGTCTTAACATTTTTCCTGATTCTCAGGGTCTCCTCTTTATTGGTGTTCGTGTGCAGAGCAGTGAGATTGTATGTGGGAAAGTACTGTGTAAAATAGATAACACGTGTGGTTATTGTATTCCTTAATTTAACCAGTCAGCTTTTAAAAAGATCACCAAGAATCCAGAGAACGCTCATTTGATGGACCTGTTCTGCAGTCCTATGGGTGAAATCCTTTCTTTAGCACCTCCTGCTGAACTTTATCTGTAGATCCCATGGCATTTACTCTTCTAAGGAGATTGGGAAGAATCAGGCTCCGCATTTTGTGATACTTACTTTTTCTTTTCAGAGCTTCATCCTACCCATTACAGTATTATGTAATTAAAATTGAAAGAACTTGATTTGGGCGAGAAGCAAAACCTAAATGCTATTAACATATGTTTTTCTTTTTAGAAAGGAATTTATGATGAGGCAATAAGCAGCTTCTTTAGAAATGTGGACACCAGGTAAGATGGTTATTAAAGTCTGTCACAATGTGATACTTTAAGTTTCGATAGCTTGAGAGATAATTCTTCAAAGGACAATAAAAATAGCCAGTAGCTGCAAAGTTCTGTTTCTTTGTTTCGTTATTGAAAACATATTCCTTCTATTAGATTATTAATATTATATCATCTTGCAGAACAGGTTTCCCTTTAGTGTGACTTCTTTTAACTTAACCTTGAAATAAGTTTCATTAAACGAAAGCTGAAATTTTCCCAGAGGGCATCTTGTTAATGCATCCTGTAATAACTAACTTTTGAAAGAAAAATATGTTGTTTACATATATGCTGTAAGTATAAAAATATACTTAAAAAGGAGACAAGCAGTTATTGGATTGTTTTTATTTAATAAAGAGTATATGTAAGTACTATATATCTTTTATCTGGAAGAGTAATTTAAGTTGCCATTCAGGATATCTCCATAAGCTTTTAATATTAAATTATTACGTTCATGCGTTTTCAAAATACTTCATAAAACTAACTGTCGTGTGCTTAAACTGAAAAATATATACTTCATATCAGGCTTTAATCCAATAGGAACATCACTTCTAGTTTAAAATTGTTGGCTGGGTATGTGAGCAGTTATCTTCTAGAGAAAGCTGATTAGTCCCTGCTTCCTGCGTGAATTCCAGAGTCTATCTAGGGCACTGGCTTGCAAACTCAGAAGTGTCATTGGCATCTTGAGATAAGTTCAGTGCTCTCCAGTACAGCCAGGTTAACCAAAGACCAAATTCTCATTTTCTGTCATAGGCACATTACATTAGTAGGAAGTCTAACTGAAAAGCTATGTAATAATCTGAAGGTTGCTTGGTGACCATGGAATCAGACCAAAGGAAGTTAGGTGTATTACTTTAATGGCTGGTATCATTTATCTTTATTTTATGGAGGTATCTGTCATATAGACTATAGATTCCCTCTTATTTGTAGCCCAGAATATCCTCACCTCTAAATTCTCTTGGGAGTCTCAAATTTGCCTCTGTAATACGTCCTTTCAGATGCTTCTCTTGCTAAGTTCCTATGCCCACCTCTTTACTTCTTGTTACCCAACACTTACATTGAGTATTACATAGTTGAGTGTCAGCCTGGGAGCTTTTCTTTCTTCATAAGGTGACTCTTCATAACTACACTCTCATCTCCTTTGTGTGTTTTATACTTTAACCTGAGAGCACTATTTTTTTCCCGGTAAGTTTAGCAAGCAGAGTTGTGGCATCTTGCACTTCTTTCTGTGTACTATGAACACATGCAGCATCTGTTCCACAGCTTAGTACAAAAAATGTTTTTCGAAGTAAGACCGTATCTTTGTGTACTCTTCTTACCAAATTGTTATACCTTTTGAATAGCATGATAGGAATTTATCTACAGCATGGGTTGGCATACATATATTTTCTGTAAAGGACCAGGAAGTAAACATTTTAGGTTATGTGAACCATAAAGTCTTTTGCACCACTTTTGATCTGTAGCATGACTGTGGGCGTAGGTAATACATAAAGGAATGGGTGTGTCCATATTTGAATAAAACTTTATATACAGGCAACTAGTTGGATTTGGCCTGACAATTGGCTGCCCTTCATATATTCTGTCTTGTGAACTGTCTTTGTTGACCCATATACTGCATTAGATTTCAGTACTTTGGCAACTTATTTCCAACGTGAAATTCTGAGAACAACCTTAGATACTCAATGGTAAATACCAGTTATATCTGTTGATGGGTGTTTAGCTGCAACAGGGAACCACATTAATGGTGGCTTAAGCAGTAAAGGTATCCATTTGTCTCACAAATCTGGAAATCAGATGTTCTAGTTTTAAAGGAATGCCTCAAAGATCTAATACTATATATGTTCCACTGTCCATAAGTGTGCTGGCTTTTTGTACTTGTATTATTACTTCATGACTATAAAATGGCAGTCTCTGCTCCAGGAATCACATCCATATTCATGTTTGAGGCAGGAAAAAGGAAGAAGATAGGTGCCAGCTGCATCTGGTCCTTCTTTAAAAGCTTCCCAGAATACTTCCCCTTTATCTCGTTGGCTAGAACTGGATTACATGGCCAGCCCTAACTACAAAGAAAGCCAGGAAAATAAGTACCTCACTTTTTCAGCCTAATGGGAGGTAAGTAAGGAAGAAAGAGATTAGGAATAGCTGTTGCGTCTGCCTCACCTGGCCTATAAGCAGTCTTATTATATAAATGGAAGTTAACTTTATTACCTGATAGCGCTGTTAGCCATGGAAGATCTTATGACCATTTCTCATTTTTTTTATCTTTCAGAGTGGTTGGTGATGGTGGAAGTATTTCCAAGGGAAAAATATGTTCTTTAAAAGCACGAGTAAGATACATAAGCTTGGATTCTTATATTACATGTATTTTTTAAATAACTATGCTCGATAACTATCATGAGAATAAAACTTTAAACTTTTCAAAGTAGAAAAAAATTACTAAGCCACATTTAATATAAATATAACTAAGCAGACATTTGTGTCCACCTAACACATTAGGGGGAAAAGCCCGTACTTTAAAACACTGTAGTTAGCCTTTTTTCAGGAGAAATAGTGTCTACATAAATAACAAAAGGAGCCTTCTTAACTCTAAGGACCTGAAATACATACTAGTACAGTTTAATGTTTTATTCAAAGATATTGGAAGATTTATTTGCATCAAGGTTACTACCAGTACAAAACATGGAACCAGCCACATTGTAGTGAATAAAAACCATTAACCATGTAAGTTCTCCTGAACCAAGTACTTCAGATTCGTAGCCCATATTTGCAGTCTTATTTACGGTCTTAATCATTCCAACAATATTTCTGTGATTGTTTCTGTGTAACGAACTACTTTTTCTGATTTTTGATCAGTGATCTTTGACTGTAACAGAAAAGAAAGTTTAAATGTTATGGAAGGAATTGAGATGCTAAGGATCAGACCTGGTGTAGTAGCTTAAAGACTGGTGAGCAATACTTTTGTGACATCTGGGAACCATCTTCTATCTGCAATCTCTGATGTCCTTGGAAAACAAAATTTAGGGCAGAGATCATGTGCTTGCAGGCTGTTATAAAATTGACTAACACAGTATGCTTTGTGATGTAGAGAGAGCAGGTATCCCAATCCAAATCTTAGAGAAAAAGAGACTTTGACATTTCCTAGACTACTCCCAACTGAATCTTTTTCCTACAACCATATCAGTAAGCCGATGGAGAGGTGGAGGAAACACTATTAGGAAAAAATAAATCAGCATGTTTTTGTGGCCTTTGACTTTTTTTCCGAGAAGGTACTCTTCCATTTTCTCCTTAGGAGCTCTCAGTATTGTGTAGTTGTGATCACTGAAGAGTCCAGGCTTCATAAGATAGCTTGGTGCTTGGGTCCCTCCACTGTGTTCAGTTTCTTAGGTTAATGAATACTCAGAATTTTATAAATCCTATGTTACAATTAGGGAAAAACCAGGCGGCTCTGAAAGGAAATACAAACATCAAATCCTAGAACAGTTGTGACTCCAGACCTTGGATGCCTAAGTGAAGAACCCAAAATACTCTCCCAAAGTTTAGTTAATTTCCAAAGGAAAAACAAGGGCCTGATGTAACAAGGAAGGTCTGGAAGAGTTATATGTCAGGATTTTAATGTTAAGTGACTAGGGCAATAATGATTCTATCAAAACTAATTTCAGGAGGTACCCGAATATCAGTTTGTATTTGCATATTGCTTCCCTTGCCAGGTAGCAGAGTGATTGAGGGTATAATTTATGTATGTTTAATCTTCCACATACCTCAATAAATCTATTTTGGAACAAGGCCAGTATAATCTAATTTGTTTTTTCTTTTATAATCTCACAACTTGTAGTACTAAAATTTGCCCATACAGTGAAGTCACTCTGGTTGGTTTAGGTGTTAAAGTTGTCAGCATTTGAAGTCAAAATTGCGTATTGTCAGAAATACCCTTGAAAATACCTAACATTGCCAAACATCCTATACAGTCCTCTGTATGTAAAGTGTATATATGATTGCTCTATATAAAGGAGCACATTTGTAAAACATAGTTTTATAGTCTTTATGATATACTGCTATATTATTTTAATTGTAAATCTTAAAGTAGCATGGTTAATTACACAAATGATTAAACTCACTGCATAATGGTAACAGAACTGAAAGCCATAAACCAAGCACTTCTTCTGCGACACTGAATCAAAGAGTTAACAAATCATTGTGTAGTGTACCCTAAGCATTTGTTTCAGCTTTGCTTTTTTATTTAACTCTACTTAGTTTACTTTTCCACTATTCTTCCTCACTGTAGAATATATGGAAAGTACAGGGAAGTGGGAGGATGGGACATATAATCCTACTGCCAAGCTATCCCTGCTTTACGTTTTACTAGATTTCCTTCATCTTTTTTTTTCTGTTTTTTCTTTCCATAATTAATTTCGTGTTTTGTATTCTCATTTCTTCTTAGAAATATAGGTTTTCTGTCATGTCAGCTAAAGTTTGTGGTAATGAATTAGATCGTGAATTACTTGGGGGAAAGGACCATGTTGTCATTTTTCACATCTATCCAGTGCCTTTGCTTTGCACGTAATGGTAAATTTACTCATTTGAATTGGGCAGTTTTGGGCTGTGGTTCATAAAGAGCAGCATGATTGTTCCCGGTATGCAGATGCATTAATGCATCCCATATTTATTGAGAACTTATGCTGGTTAAGGATGCCTTTTACATTTCTGAGACCTTGTTAGAAATTCAGTTGAGGGGATTATTCTTGGGCTTTTTTTCCCCAACTAGGCATTTTAGAGTAGGATAAAAGAATTTAGAATCCATTTTTTAATTGGATTCCACCTTTCAAACAGAGTGAAATTATTTTTTAATTTTTACAACAGATTCTGCATAAAGATTTTAATTAAGCTTAAACTATCAAGAGAACAGTGTAATATTCAGTGCATAAATTATTTTCATTTACAGAGTGAATAACTCTAAAGGAAAATACATTAATTATATTTTATTTTTCTTTCTCAGGCTGTCTTGATTGATATGGAAGAAGGGGTAGTGAATGAAATTCTGCAGGGACCACTGAGAGATGTATTTGATACGAAACAGCTGATCACTGATATTTCTGGCTCAGGAAATAATTGGTGAGAATACACAACGTAAAAATTGAATATTTTCTGAAAAAAATGAGCAATCTTTTCTTCATTGTGAGATTCCACTGATGTGAAACAAGATGCAATTTGCCACATAATGCTAGGCCTTTCAGCCCACCACCTTAATAAATGGTGGCTTGGAAGCCATCTGTATTTACTCCTAGTTCCTTCTTTTTTAAAGAAAAAGATGAATTATGAAAAATTAATTCGCTGAATTCCTTTTCATAAATTGATTCTTGAAGAACACTAAATAGTGACAAATGTTTTAAGTATTTCCATTAACTGTTATCTATGTTATTTCACTTGCTCTCAAGTTGTCCAGTTGGTCAGATGTAATAGAATTGATGGAGATGCAAGCCAGACCAGTATCCTGGCATTCAAGCTGAGCCTGAGGCTTTTTAGGCCCTTGAGTATATCATGATCTCTTTACTGTAAAAAAAGCTTCAACAGTGATTACTTAAGAATTCACGTTGAGACTGTTGTTTTTTAGAAATTAAGTAGCTCCTTGTTATTTGCAAATCTCTCATATTCATTATTTTCACTATTTACAGCCAGTCCCTCAGGTTCATAATGTGGAGTGATGTATAATTTTACTAAAACATAAATTTGAATCTTGTGTTCCCAGAGAACCAGTCACTTAGTACGTGAGCCCATCTGACCACCTAACTGCATTTTCACTAATTGTTGTGTAACTTATTATGTAACTTTTGAGTTATACCTGAAATGCATGTTATGGGAAATTTTTTACTTTAATTCATCATAGTGATATTTGCAAATCTGGACAACTAAAAAGACTTGCCGAGCTGCATGAATATCAGTTTCTACCATGTGCCATTTCATCTAATAACATGATATGACCATTTTTTTCTCATATATGAAACCAGAATAGGTTTGTTTAAATTTTTTCAGTGTCTCTTTAGTTTACCATATTTTGCTTTTTAATATGTAAAATCCACTACAATTCAGAGCTTACCTTAAATGCAGAGAAGAAAAAATTATGTAACTGAAATCTTGTTTTGTCGGAATTGTACCTTAAGAGAAGGTTAAGAAGATAAATTTAGAAAATCATAGTTTAGTATTCATTACTGATGATCTTACTTATCCACATATTTGAAGATCATAGATATTGAATATTTGTTAAGTTTTCTATCTAGTATCTTCAGGATATTGTATAATTTATTTACATGAAACAAGAATAGACTTTAGCTCAATAAAAATACTTTTCAAATTTGTTTAAAATCCTTTTATTTAGATTAGAACTAATAAAAAAAATGCAAGGGATTTTAAAAATCCTCGTTCTTATTTTCAGGGCTGTGGGTCACAGGGTTTTCGGCAGTCTTTACCAAGACCAGATTTTAGAGAAGCTCAGAAAGTCGGCAGAGCACTGTGATTGTTTGCAGTGTTTCTTTATAATACATTCCATGGGAGGAGGTAAAAGTTTTCACTCACTTGCCTGTAACAGTGTTAAAGTATAAGTGGGAATTCATTTTGCAAACGTAAGTCTTGTTTTTAGACATGTGCTTGATAAAGATAGAACTATTGGGAGGGTGTATAGTTTGAGTATGGAAACATACACACCTTTTTATCTTAAAATTTTGTGGTATTATGTCACTATTTTCTCGTCTTTTTTTTCATGATCTCTGTAAGCCCTCTTAAGAATCAACAGAACTATACTGGAAAATTTTTTTTCTTGTACCTTTAGTTTCTTTTACGGAACATGCAGCTACTTTTCAGGATGTATGAGCTTTTGAGGAATGCTGACTTTCTCCTCAGAGTTTGCCTGTACAGTCCTGTTTCCTAGAGTGAAGCATTTTTGACATGTTCATAAAGTATGCTTGCCAAAGAATATCAATACCCTGTCTTTAACCATCTTCAAGCCTTTCTTGTCTCCAAAAAGAGAAAAAAAAGTAAAAGAAACTAGTTTAGTCAATTCCTTTAGATCGTTTATTACACGGCAGTTAATTGACTTGAACTAAAAATAAATAATCAGCATTGCTTCCTTCCCCCAGGGAAGTCTATACCTTAGAACTGAAGTATTTTGCTCCCCTCTTCTGTAAAAATAGAAACAGAATGTAATTTGCTGATTTTTAAATAGGCTTAGCAAATATTAAAAGAACAAAATTGTCACACTTTTTTCCTCCAACCTGAGATTAAGATTTTATATTCAGCAAATTATGTGTATGTACAGTTGATTTTTATACATATTATTCATTGACATAGCATTGTAAAATTAAAAGTTAAAATTGCTGTGTAACCATGTCTTTAAAAGACCCTCATAATCATTCAGTTAAGAAACAAATTTGTCTTTGTACTAGTATAATTAACCTGCAAATTTGAGTTAGTTTTTTTAATTGATTTATAGTTCATTATATCTTTCTAAAAAAGATATAATGAACTTATATCTTACCCAACATCTGAGAAGAACATACTTACAATTCACTTAAAATTGCAAAAATAAATATTACTAAAGGTTAAAAGTAAAGTTCTTTTCTCCCATGTCTAATCCCTACTCCCTGTCCTCACAGATGGTCAGGTTTGCGGGGTCTTTTTATGTCTGTTCTTTCAGATATATTCTATGCCTATCAAAGCATGTATGTATATTTTTACATAAACAAGATTATCCAATATATACTATTCTGTAATTTTTCCACTTTATCTCTTCCTGGAACATCTTTCCATATCAGCTCTCTGTCATAGAATCAATTATACAATTTAAAGTGAGTTTGTTATTGATGGGTGTTAAGTGTTTATGGTATTTAGTTTTTACATCCCATCATCAGTGAAAGTGTGGGACAAATACTTCTGCATTTGTGCCACTATAGCTTTAGACAGTATTCCTAGGAAGAAGATAGGACCAAAGCATATGTACATTTAAAATTTTGGCTGATATTACCTATACACCTTCCTACAATATTGCACCAGTGCTTCTTACTGGCAACAATGTGTATGAGTTTCTATTTCCCTACACTAGCACCAACACCGAGTATCATGAGACATAAATCTATTATATGCAAAAGTATATCTAGTTTTAATTAGAAAGGTTGAGCATCTTTACTTCCATTTGCAATTTGTGTTTCTTTTATTATGAGTTAAATATTTCTATCCTTTGCCCATTTCATGGTGGCATTATTCATATTTTTTATTGTTGATTTGTGGGAACTTTTTCTTAGAGAAACTTAGTCCTCCATCATATACATTGAAGAGTGTTTTTGTAAGTTTGTCCTGTTATTTTGTTTATGGGTTTTTTAAGTATATATAGAAGTTTTGTTTATTTTTAATGAAATCAAAACTGTCTTTTCTGTAATGGCTCTGGTTTTTTAATGATGCTTAGAAAGTCCTTCTCATTAAAGATCACCCCAAGAATCTCCCTCACTTTGACTTAGTACTTTTAGCATCACAGCCTTTTAATATTTATCTGCATGGATTAGAACATTGGCTTTTAAACTTTTTTTTAACCAGAATGGTATGAAATCCATTTTATATATCACAGTGCAGCATACACACACGAAAAAATATATTAAGAAAACATTATTTACTCATACTACATCTGACATGTTATTTTCTACTGTTTCATTTAAGAAAAGAAAACAGTACTAATCTATTCATTAGTTTCATAGCCCACTAATAGTTCAGAACCCAGTTTGAAAAACACTGGATTAGAGGATTCCAGTTTTAAGTTCTGAAAAATTTCTGAATTTATGTAAATGTAACTTTATGTATCAGAAAAGTACCTTTAATGAGATTCCTAGAGTTTCTGCTTTTAAATAAGTTGTGCTTCATATTTGAAAATTTTTGAAATTCGAGGTAGACATGCTTAATTGTAAACAATTTTAACTGTTTAAATTGCTTGATGACATGATAGTTTTCTTCATCATGAAGATTGTATACACACTACACTAAAGCTGTCAAGTTAGTTTTCTTAAGTTGCTTAATATCAAATGTAGACTGAACACTCTCTTAGTTGAATTTTTTACTTGTGCATGTGCAGTTGGTTTTTGTGGCATTACATAGGTATAACTTAATTATGAAAAGGAGTAAAATATAGATAGCCCTCCCAAACTCACTGTCAGAGCCAGAGATGGAATTCAGGACTTCATTTCCTGAATGTTGCCTTCATTTCCTGCCAAAATTAGATTAGTTAATATATAATCACAGAAATAAGTTGAAAATTAGTTTTTCAAATATAAAATTCTGGCCAGGTGTGGTGGCCCATGCCTGTAATTCCAGCACTTTGGGAGGCCAAGGCAGAAGCTTGCTTGAACCTAGGCATTCAAGACCAGCCTAGGCAACGTAGGTATACCCTGTCTCTACACAAATTAAAAAGTTAGCCAGGCCTGGTGGTGCATGCCTGCGGTCCCAGATGCTTGGGAGGCTGAGGCAGGAGGATCGTTTGACCCTAGGAGATCAGGGCCACATTGAGCTGTGATTGTGCGGCTGCACTCCAGCCTGGGTGACAGAGCAAGACCCTGTCTCAAAAAAAATAAAGTGTCAAATTCCTCACAATTATATTCTGAATCATTTATGCTAATTTTTTAAAATATTTTAATCCTCAGGAACAGGATCTGGACTTGGCACATTTCTTTTAAAGATGCTTGAAGACGAATTCCCAGAAGTGTACAGATTTGTGACTTCCATTTATCCTTCTGGTGAGGATGATGTCATAACCTCACCTTATAATAGCATCTTGGCAATGAAGGAACTTAATGAGCATGCAGACTGTGTGTTGCCCATTGACAATCAAGTAAGAAATGACATTGGAACTGGATGAATGTTATGTATATTCAGTCTTGTATTATGTTTATGTGTTTATATTAAACATTCTCTTCACTTTTCAGCCTTCTTAGAGAAAAAATCAGTTTAAATTGTTTTTCTTTCTCTTTCCTAGTAGAATATCATCTATATCCACTCTTCTTAATAGCTTCTCTCCTGATGTTTTTCCCTCAAAAGTCTTTATTTGACATCATTAGCAAAATCGACCTCATGGTGAATTCTGGAAAGTTGGGTACAACTGTGAAGCCAAAGAGTCTGGTTACTTCAAGTTCTGGGGCTTTAAAAACGCGGCATAAGAAGCCCTTTGATGCAATGAATAACATTGTGGCAAATTTGCTGCTCAACCTAACGAGGTAATTCTATCCAGGGATAGTCGAAAAACTTTATTGTGCTTTTGGTGATATTTTGAATTTTTGTAGTATCATTTTTTAGTTATTCTAAATTGTAGAAGCTGCTTCTGTTTTTATTTTGTCTTCTATCTTCTTTTCTTGGAGTGATCAAGCATAATTTTAATTTCTATGACTCCAAAGCAGCATTTCCCCAAGTATATTCCATGGAATATTAATAGGTATCATATGATGTAAAAGATTTTGTGGTTGACACACTTGCGAAACACGTAGACAAAATTAAATATTTTTTAGCTGTGGAATGTCTTAATCATTTAAACCAACTAATCTGTGCCTCCTCATTAGCTGGACCAAAAGATTTCTGTGGCTTTTTGGTATCAGAGATTGCTTTGACATTATTATATTCTAGATTATAGAATATATTAAGCAGATTCTTGAAGAATTTAGTTGTTTCTACAGTTCCTAATTATTGACCTATATGTGTTTAACTCAAATATAAAGTTTGTTTTAAATAGGATATTTTTATATGTGTAATAAGCAACTGTAATAGTATATTGGTTACACTTCAGATAATCCAGAAACAGGAATTACTGTAGGGCCAGGCATGGTGGCTCATGCCTGTAATCTCACCACCTTGGGAGGCCAAGGCAGGTAGATTGCTTGAGCCCAGGAGCTGGAGATCAGCCTGGGGCACATGGTGAAATCCCATCTCTACAAAAAATAAAAAATTAGCCAGGCATGGTGCTGTACACCTACTGTAGTCTCAGCTGCTCAGGAGGCTGAGCTGGGAGGCGGCGGTTGCAGTAAGCTGAGATCACACCACTACACTCCAGCCTGGGCAACCAGAGTGAGACCCTGTCTCCAAAAAAAAAAAGAAAAAAAAAAAATTTTAGATGTTATGTGTTACGTTTTATTTTATACATCATTGTTCTGATACTAAATTTCACTAATATGGAAGAAAAGCATGTGTTCTACACTGAAGAACAGTGTGCAAAAGAATTTGTGCAAAAGAATTTGAAAAACTACCTGCTGAGTAAATCGAGCTACATTTAAAAGTGTATAATTTTAAAATTAAACATTTTCTCATCATTTTAATCTTAACTTTTTAGCTCTGCAAGATTTGAAGGATCCCTTAATATGGACCTTAATGAAATCAGCATGAATTTAGTTCCTTTTCCTCAACTTCATTATCTCGTGTCAAGCCTAACACCTCTGTATACACTGACAGATGTTAACATTCCTCCTAGAAGGTAAGGTGTAACTGTTTCAATTTTTTGAGGCTTCATATTACTTTAAAAAACATTTTTAAGAGAAAAAAGTTTGTAATAACTCTAGTTATTTAATTGTATCATCTTATCTTTGAGAAGTATATAAAATACAGTTGATGACAGCCATTTTTCCGTTAGATGAATGCATCTTTATTTAGAATTAATTGTTGAAAAATGTCAGTATTAAACTATTTGAACTTTAATGATTAAATGTGTAGGCTTATGAAAAGTCCTTTGAAGTCTGACAAACACATTTGAATCCTAATTGTCACTAGCTACAGGACCTTGGGCAAGTGACTTAAACTTTCTTAGTTTTTCTCATCTGTAAAAATGAAATAGTACCTACCTCATATACTTACTGGGTAGATTAAATGAGTTTGTTTTAAAGCTACTATCACAGCCCAGTACCATAGAAGAATTTCAGATGTAACTTTGTCTGTTTTCCAGAACACCTTGCTTTGTAACTGTGTGTCATTGTTAAGCATAAAGATTACATCAGTATACTTAACAAAAAATGTAGTTTTGAAAGATACTCTTAGCATGTATACTGACGATGAGCTTGAGAAGTTCACAGTGGCATTCACAGTTGACTGAGGGCAAAGGTCCTGCCAAACTCTGTAAGGGGACAGTATGTAAATAAGAAAGGAAAAACTAAATTGGCTGAGTGCCGTGGCTCACATCTGTAATCCCAACACTTTGAAAAGATGAAATGGGAGGATCACTTGAGCCCAGGAGTTCAAGACCAGCCAGGGCAACATAGTGAGACCCTATCTGCACTTGTAGTCCCAGCTTCTCTGGAGACTGAAGTGGGAGGATCACTTGAACCCAGGAGTTTGAGGCTGCATTGAGCTATGATTTTGACCCTGCACTCCAGCCTGGGCAACAAAGCAAGACCCTGTCTCTAAAACAGATTGAAAATAATTTTTAAAAAGTTTTTAAAGAAAACTAAATTAAAGATTCCTTTTTATAATTAAAGTTTTGACAAGATAATTCTATACTTTAGGAATGTCGCAAGTGATATTGGTAAGTTTTCATCTAAGCCAACAGCAAATGACCACTTTGCCAACTAATAGATAGGACTCCCTTTCTGCATGGGATGCTGGTGACCTTAACAAGCTAAGCATCATACCCAGTGTGTGCAACATGGTGATTATTAAATGTCCATTGGCATCAGCCTAGCATTGGAGTCTGTGTATTGTTAGATATAAACTTTGTCAGTCACCTTTATTATCGTCTTTTATCTTTCAGTTAAAAGACTTAGGTTAAAAGTCTGCTTTTAGGAGCACTACTATGGAGTTTCATCTTTTATAGGAGAGCTTCACATTGTCCTTTGATAATTTCCTCCTGTTAACTAATTTATGATATAATATACTTTACAAAGTAATAGTCTTAATGTTACAGGCTTTTAATTAGTTTTAGTAGTTTGGATACTATGAAATAAATAAGGTATACTGAACTAAGTAATAATGATACAAATTTCAAAAATCAGTACTACATAGAGTTCAGTAATACTACAGTCAACATTTTGTAGCTACCTGAAATCACCAATATACTGCAGAAGCTTTTTCCTCCCAGAAAAAGAAAATATTACATGATTTCTTCTCTTTTCATATCATCAAGATTGCTTCAAGAAAATTCTAGTTATTTAATATTTTTAGAATACATATAATCTAATATTTTGTTAGTGTAATATTTAGTGTGGTGTATTTACTTATAGAGGACTATCTTCATTTTAGTTATACCTAGAAGAAAGAAGTAATATTTTGTATAAACAATGACACTTTCACTGTTGCAGATTGGATCAGATGTTTTCAGATGCCTTCAGTAAAGATCACCAGCTGCTTCGGGCGGACCCCAAACACAGTCTTTACCTTGCCTGTGCGCTCATGGTTAGAGGAAATGTACAAATTTCAGATGTTCGTAGAAATATTGAAAGGTTTGGTTTCTATTTTTAAAGATAATTTGTGTGGGCTGCTTGGGACAGTGTGGCATAGTAGTTAGTTAACAGCCGCCCTTCAAATTCTAACAATGCCACTTACTAAAATGTGACCTTGAACAAACTACTTAGTCTCTTTGTGCCTTGTTTTCTTCAAGTGTAAAATAAGGATAATAATAGTACATAGTTTTTATTTAGGAGTATTAAATGATATATGACATGTTTTATGAAAGTGTTCAGAAAATCATAGCTATACTATTTTTATTACCAGTACCACCAGTACTACTACTACTACTTCTGATTTTTGTGTTACTATTTCATTCTATTTATAAGAAAACTAGTCTGTTGAATTACAAAGTAAGGAAAATGATAGTACCTTCATTTGTTTATATCCCTAGATTTCTCCTCTTGAGGAATGAGTTTCTAGCTTCTTGAATCACCATCACAGCCAATTTAATGTTCCCCTACAAAATGTCTCTTAGTTCACTGTCCTACTGTACCATGGTATTGCCAATGGTAAAAAATAGATAACTTAGCATCTAAACTAAGCAATTAGAACGATACCATCCATAATGTTCTGGTTTAACTAATATGAGCACTGCCATAATATGGCAGACATTTTTAGTAAGTTAGTTCTTACCTTTGAGATTTTTTTTTTAAATCTCAGATTAAAACCATCTCTACAATTTGTCTCCTGGAATCAAGAAGGCTGGAAGACCAGCCTGTGTTCCATACCTCCTGTGGGCCATTCTCATTCTTTATTAGCTTTAGCAAATAACACATGTGTGAAGCCCACCTTCATGGAACTGAAGGAGAGATTCATGAGGCTCTACAAGAAAAAGGTAATTATTGTACAGCTTTGTAACTGTATGTGTTTATTTTGGCTATTTAAGATGTATTCTTAAAAATTACACTATTACAAATCAGAGGTGATCTTTTCTATATGTGTTGTACTGATTATAACTGAAGAGGAGAGGCTTGCTCATACTACTTTTACTCTAAATGAGAACATTCATGAGTTTATGGGATTCATTCAATTTGACACAAGTTCTCTTTCAAGTGTAGAGCTGAACTCTAATTTTAATAAGGAATATTTACCTTTTAGGATAGTCGTATGTATTAAAGTTCCTGAAACGGTAAACGTTACCTAATTTTTTAATTTATAGGCTCACCTTCATCACTATCTACAAGTTGAAGGGATGGAAGAAAGCTGTTTCACAGAAGCTGTGTCATCTTTATCAGCACTCATACAGGAATATAACCAACTGGATGCCACAAAAAACATGCCTGTGCAAGATTTACCCAGACTAAGCATAGCTATGTAAAAAAGAAACCCTCAAAAATACTTTCTTAATTTCACATTGTTTTTTCTGACCTTTCTGTTTCAATATTTTTGTAATTTGGAAACCAGTTTTTTCATATGAGGAAATATTTTTGTCTAAAAGAGTGATTTCTGTTTAATCACAGTTTGTTGGTAATACCAATGTGTGAAATTAATGAAATCTTAGTACCTTAACTTCAAACATTTCTCTTCAGAAAAGTTCCCTTTTCTAAAATTGAGAGAACAGAGTTCTTGAATATTTTGCTGTATTTATAGCCTCATATTTAGGCATTTATGCACTGATGATCATATCTTCAATTAAAATCTTGTATAGATATATTTGTATAATTATTTATATTTTGATATTCTATTTAAGTTATCCTGACTGTTTAAACGTAGATCCTGGGAGTAGAAGAACGCAGTATAAATATTTCCATGTAATAGCCACTAAATTTTCAGGCATAGGCTTTATTACAACTGTTAAGGAGGTTTTGCTGCTTCTTTTGATAACAATTTGTTTGCTCAAAAGAATCCTAATTTGTACACTTAACATGTATTTGTATTAAACTTTTTAAATAATTGCTTTCTTATCAAACCAATTGATTTTATAATAAATGTCCATATTTTTCAACAGTACTACTTGTTATTGTTCTGCATGTCATTTATACAAATGAACAGAATGTTACTAAGCTTGATATCTTCCAAACTTTGCAATAAATGGCTGTAATTGTTCCAGTTACTATAATCTTCAGTTCTAGCCTTAACATTAATTGATTTTTAATAGCAATTTATATTTCAGATCCACAGGTTAATTTTAAATTTTATTATTTATATTTCTTTCCTTTGCAATGTAATGATACAGTTCTTGGTCTTTGTCTTGGAAATTTAATTTTTTATAATATTCAATATAAAAAATTTTAGGTTGCAGTTGTTAACAGTGGCCAGAAAAGTTGCATTTTCTCCTCTCCAAAAGAAACTGATGTTAAAGATCAGGCAATGAGAAGTCTAAATATATTTACAGCTTAATCTTATTACTATTCAAGAATTAATCTAGAATTTCACTTGCCCTATAATGATTTATCAACTAATGGGCACCCAGGCTACATTGTCAAATATAGATTAAATTTTTAAATTTAATATGCTTTTTTCCCCCACAAAGGAGTCTCACTCCTCTGTGCCAGTGCAGTGGTGCAATCTCAGCTCACTGCAACCTCCACCACCTGGGTTCAAGCAATTCTTCTGCCTCAGCCTCCCCAGTAGCTGGGATTACAGGCACACGCCACCACACTCAGCTAATTTTTGAATTTTTACATTACAGACAGGGTTTTACCTTGTTGGCCAGGCTGGTCTCAAACTCCTGACCTCAAATGATCTGTCCACCTCAGCCTCCCGAAGTGCTGGGATTACAGGCATGAGCCACTGTGCCCAGAGTAAAATTTAGTATGCTTTTTATACATCTTTAGCAAGTATTCCAGATTATTTTGTAAAATATTTTATTGTAAATTGCGTATTTTTTCATATACAAAATGCTTAGATGGTATCAAATATCTGCATATTATATAATTATAGGATATATTTCAGAAATGAGTTCAATTTTTAACTTTTTCAAATTTTATGTATATTTTTAGGATATCTTTTTTTAAAAGCTTCTAATGCCTTAAATGTAGTGATCTAAGAACAGGCATTCATACTGTTTTAAACAAAGCAGATTTGCCACCATTTTATACTCACTAATTTTTTTATTATATGACAGGGTTGACTAACTTTTCCCCCATTTACTTTGTTTTACAGAATCTTGAGCTCAGAAAATATATCTCCAGGTTCTCTGCAGCTTCTCTGACATACACAAGATGTAATCCACAGCATCTTCCATTTAAATGACCCCTCATTTGGGCAATCAAATTGAATAGTAATCATTTTAGACTTATTAGGGATACAGCATCTCTTATCCAAGCATATTCCACAAAAAGTGGGTTTGTAACTCTGAGTACTTGAGCATCCAGAAAAGACAAATTTTTCAGCTTTGAAGAGTTGGAAAGTAGGTTGGCATGTTTTTCCTTTGGGGATCTGAAAAGATACATAAAATGAAGTCATTCTTTAAATTTGATTACAATAGTTTAGAAAAACAACATGTAGAATATTTTATAGTACAAACAATTATTTGGAGGCATTAATAAAAGCTGTTATGTAGTGATTTCCAGCACTCTCTTCTCTACCCTTAAGATCCCCTTCTCATCAGAGGTCTGTCCTAACTGTCCTCTCTGTTCTTCCTCCATCATATTGTAGCACCTATTCCTCAATGTTTTTTGCTATCTGTTCTTTACTCAATTTTACAATAAATAGAAATTTCTGTTTTGTTTAATATCAAGGGCCATGTCTTATTAAATATTTATCTAAGACTTAGCAAAGTCCATAACACAGCCCAGACAGTTTTCAGTGGATGGGTAGATGAATACTTACTCTAATCTTTCTTTAAAACTGAATTGTCAGCTGGACATAGTGGCTCACACCTGGAATCCCAGCACTTTGGGAGGCCGAGGCAGGCAGATCACGAGGTCAGGAGATTGAGACCATCCTGGCTAACATGGTGAAACCCCGTCTCTACTAAAAATACAAAAAATTAGCCGGGCGAGGTGGCGGGCGCCTGTAGTCCCAGCTACACGGGAGGCTGAGGCAGGAGAATAGCATGAACCCAGGAGACGCAGCTTACAGTGAGCTGAGATCACGCCACTGCACTCCAGCCTGGGCAACAGAGCAAGGCTCCGTCTCACAAAAAAAATAAAAAATAAAAATAAAAAAATGGAGTTGTCAACTTGCTAATATGATAGAGAATAACTTTGGGGTGAGAGGATTGTGTAGCATTTCTAAAAATTACCCTTTTTGAGACAGACTTCCTGCCTCGTTCAAGAAGTAAGACCAGCTCTAGTTATACCAAACAATCTTAGGGTAAATATTTTATTGTAGTGTTTTAGCAAGTTTACTATGTAAGCATAGAGCATTTTGGAAATGGTGTGGCTTCCTTCCAAGTTAGTGACATATAACTAAGATCAGGACTTCTCTAATGTTCATAGTATCTGTTTTCATAATTATAGTGTAGCAACCAAAATCTTCTATTCATTAACATAGAAAAAACAAGTTAGAATCTGCTCTGGTTGGTAAAATTTTCCCCACAACGTGCAGTTATTACCTGTTTTCCTCTGAAATAGTTTGACTTTAAGCATTATAATGAGATGGTTTTATTTTTCTAAGAACTAAACACCATCCCTCCCTCCAAAACACACACATGCTTACTTTTCAGGAATCTCTTAATATTGAATTAAGTTAAATATATTTAAACTTTACCTTTATTGTCTTTAATATATTGCTGTCACAAGGCTGAATGTAACACAGTCTTTTCTCTTTTCTCATTTCACAGTTGCTGTTTTCATTGGTCACCCTATTAGATATTCCCATCCCACATGTTCTGGAGCAGGGAGTCCACTTTGTTGCTTGCACAAGACATTTTTTTTTCCAAATAAGTGGGAGATTTCTATAAGCTAAAATGGAGAAAAGTACATATGTATACATATAAATGTACTTGTATAAATAGATAATTTTTAACCATGTTTAAGCTAATGTTTAAGAAATCTGAATATTTTTGTATAATATAACTCAGAATAAAAGAAGCTGATGGTCTAATTTATCATTCTATCTCCCTCTTTCCTAACCCAGAATTAACTTTCAATCAAGTATTACAGTCCAGCCTCTTAGGAGGAATAAAAATACTCTATCTTTGAAAAACTGAGAAGATTTACTCATTTGCATTTTTCTGCTTTGCCTGTCCTCTGAATCCTAAGCCTAAGCTTATGTTCCTGTTGAGTTGTCTTTTCCCTGGTTCTTGCCTGATCATTTCTAACAGACGTTGAAACAAAAATTAGAGAATTTGAGTTATTGATCAGAACAGTGTGATCTTAATGTTAACTTTCGTAATATGTTAAAATCTAAAATACAAAAATTATATTTGAGAATGAGACTATCAGCGAGACCAGATTTCTTCCACTTGTTTTAATCTAGTCTTTTAGAAAACTGTCTAATTAACTAATGCTATACTGAACTAAACTAATAGTTTATATACAAAGTCATTGCAAGTGTATAATTTCATTCATTCAACTTAATTGACACACTCCCTGTGTTCTTAGGCCCAAAGCACTCTCCAATTGGGTAGGATTTCAAATTACTTATGAAAAAACAGAGAATGGATGGATCAATAGATGGGTCAGTGAGTGAGTAGATAGAGCCCCTCCAATGTCTGCTGCTAAAGGGAAATAGAAGGGGAAGAAAGAATATAAGAGGGTATAATAATGCTCCCATTTCCATGTAAGGTCACTGGGAGCTTCTTGTTATAAATGAATCAAGCCCTTGGCTCATTTTAAGCAAACTACATATTGACTTACTGTCTCAAGGCATTTCCTTAAGGTTAATGTGCATCTTGAAATGAATGCTTTGGGAGTACGGTTGTGATTTGAGTCTGCACAGCAAAATTCTGGCTATATTACTTCAAAAAAATCAATTTAAAACTTGAAAAAGACCCAGAAAAAAAAAAAAAAAAAAAAAAGGCCTTCTTCATAGGAAATAGTCTCTTTGAAGTATGTGCTCTATTTTAATTGATACTATGACACTGCTTTCAGTGTTATTACAGTAAAGTCTCTTGCAATTGCACGTAGAACTGAGGAGAGGAAGCAGAAACGTGAAGATACCTGGAAGGTAGACAACAGTTTAAAGACCTCTGAAATAGTTTGCAGGAAGCAGATTAGAAGCTTGGCACACATCTGCAATAAATAAACGCAGGTTAGATTACCGTGTTACCAGTAATCCTACTTGTTAAACCAAGAGCTGTAGTTCAGGAATTTACCATTCATTAAAAAGCAAGAAAACTAGAAGAGATTTTTTTTAAACAAAGCTTAGTGTTTGGTGAGCATTGAAAAAAGCATGAGGGCATTATGTCATTGCATGCTTCATACTGACCTAGCAAAAGCTAGATTCCAACCATAGACTACAAATTACTGTCACAAATGTATCTTAAAGTATGTGTTTTTGTCATTACGGTTCATTTTAAAAGCCAAATTCCTATGTGGGCCATAAATATAATTTCACAGTTAAGCAAAGAAGAGACATGAGACTGAACATGTACTTCATTTGAAACACATCTAGCTCTAAATCGCAAATACTAGAGAACACTCAAAGCGCTAACTACCAAGACTGACTATCTGATGCCTTTCCCAACCAAGGTCAAAGTGAATCCACTGAAATGCTCTAACTTCTAAAATGAGACCAACTTGAAGTTGATCCAAAGGACTCCACTCGTGGAAAACTGCTCTAAGGTAGTCTTTCCAGGGAAGTTTATGCATGGGTTCTAAGAGCCTTATATTGAATCACTAAAATCCAACGCAGAAAATTAACTGTTCTGTACATTTTGAAAAAAAATAATAAGGATACAGCTTATAATTTCAGAGGTTTTAGAGCATTAACAATGTCATGCTGTCAACTGAACTTGTCTAGTAAATGCAAATTCACCACAACCTGGTAAACTTTTTTTCCAATTAACTGACAAAACTGGAGTTGCTGAGGATGTTCCTTTTATAGAGTTAGTTTTTAAATATCTAAAACTCATTTCCCTGCTTATGGTTGCCTTTATTAAATATCCACTTAATAAAAATGAACTTATGAGTTGTTAACATATACAAGTATTCTGCATTTGCATGGCACCTCTCA